GATTAAATGAGATAACATATATATAGGACTTTGTCCTATTCACTTAAAGAAAATAAAAACACTTTAAAATGATTTTCTTCTTATAAGTGAAAAAAATAAAATCAAAGACAAAGAAAATAAACAATAGAAAAGTTTTTTTTTTTACCAGGGTGACCCCTACAAATGCATGAATAACGGTGAAAATCTGACTTTGAAAAATAAACCTTTTCTTTTTTTTCCCTTATGAAAGGCTAAATAAAGCAAAACATTGCTGGCAATTGTTTACTGTGTTACAAACGGCACTCCATAGAAAAGTTAGTTTTATATTAAAGAAATGTATACAAGTTAAAATAAAATCTTATTTGTTGTTATTTATTTTAAAGTTGCAACAGTATATATGACGCTGTACATTTGATCCTGTCAGAGTGGGTATAAGCCTATAAGGAAGAAGAGCCTCCTTGTTCAGAAAAAAAGAAATGTGTTTTTATTTGTTTTAATTGTGCAATGATTTTATAAGTTCTCTGTATCTGCAAGTACTCAAACTGAAGTACTTGTAGTATGTTTGAGAAAAACTGGTATTGGGACATCTATTTATAATACAAGACTCTGAAAGAGGTTTTAAATCATTGTAAATATTAATTTGATCAGTTTTTTGATCTTATAATGTAAGTTTTGAGAGTTTTAGTTTATTGTACAGTTTATATAGATTTTTAAAAGCTCAATTTACAGAATCAAAACAATATTAATCTGCTGGTTTATTCTTCTTCTTAGTCTAATATTGTCATCCAGTTTTGTTGTGCTGCTCCTGACAAATACTTAGATTTTTTTTCTCCATAAACATCAATAGCATTTTAATGAAACAAGCGAGAAAAGCTAGAAAAGCCAGCTCTGATGCTCAGACAGTTTCACAGTAGAAACATCATTCATAGTTTAAGCAGGTTTTTATGTCTTTGAACTGGCATATCTTTAATAATTTTTACATACAGTAACTACAACTTAGTTTTGATGATTTTTGGAGATTATCACAGAACGTTGAACTTAAAGTGAGGACGTCCCTCGAAGACTTCGGCTATCTAAACATACCAAACAAGTCATTTTTCCTACAGTCGTTACACTTCGTGTACATAATATACATGAAAACACAGTTAGACTCAGTGAGCCTCTCCCTGCTGTAAGGCTTGTGTTTTTCTCTCAAGGCACCCTAACTCTCACTGACTTCATGTGTATCTGAGCTCAGAATTTTCTGTTTTCCTTTCCAAGATTATAGATTCAAAAACATTTGTCACTAAAGAACCAAACACTGCTATAGGAATCTGCAAGTGAAAATCAGAAAGTTCAAATAGCAACTGAGTAAAAATGATTATAAGAATATAAATTAAATTACATATTGAACTATTGAAAAAAAATCCAAAACCAATAAAAATAACAGCAGACGGCAGCTGAAGTACGCAAGATGTTAGGAGCTCCATGCGCCATCTTTGCTGCGTGAGGGTATGTGGAAATGCTTATCATTATGTATACTCCAAAACAAGGCACGTAGAATTGTAAATAATGTTGGGTATAAGAGCATACAAACATTATTTATAAAGACGGTCTTAAGGTTACAGACTTTCTTAAATTTAGAACTGTTCAAACAAAGCAAAACATTATTTACTTCTTGGTAACATCCAGAAGGATGATGGATCCAAAGGTGATGAATATATGTTTTTATGAAAAGCTATGCCCGTACAAATTTAAAAGATACATGTATTTCATTTTGTGGTGTGATTAAATGATGAAAACAAAGGAAGCAGACTTCTTTGGTCAGTTTAATAAAACGTATTATATAAATATATATATTCTCAGGCTGTAGAGAAGTGGAAGAGTTTGGTGTTGAGTCTAAAGGGTAATACATGATTAGTAATGCATTGTTGTAAAGAAATTATTCTGAACTAAATATATTTTGAAATAAAAGAGAATAGGATTATTTAAGCATGGGCTTCATCCTATTTCTTTTCAAATATTTTTGTTTGATTATAACATTGTGCTTTGTATTTTTATCCAAAATGTTATTATGATGTGTTTAAAATAAAAATTTAAAGATATAAAGAAAATAAAAATATGACTTATTGTTTCTGTACATTTGAGACTTACTTCTGCTCTGTTTCTGCCTGCCTTATTATGCTAACAGGAAGTGACAGCTGGAAACAGCTTTAACATTTCTTTTGATCATTTTACATTTCTTCCTCAGTTTACATGATGAAACTTCTGAATTCTGTCTCAGAATCTGAATCAGACTGTTTTCAAATTCAGGCCCAAATTATTAACCGACTTAAGAGGAAAAAAAAGATTCTTCATTTTAGAGTTTCAGTCTGTAGAATCCTAAAATGCATCACCAGATTCTTTTCTAACAATATTTAACATTTTACCTGCTTGTGGACCTTGGTGAGCTGCTCCAGGTTGTTCTCCAGGAAGGAGATCTTCTGTTTCTGAGCGACGTTTCCAAGACCCTCCTCACAATCCAGCTCCGCGTTCTTAAAACAAAGCAAAAGTTCAGGGGGAAAAAAAGACCACCTCATGAGATGGTTGTAAATGTTCACGTCAAGGGAAAATGTACCTTCTTAACTCGTGCGGTGAGGTCCTGAACAAAGAGTTTGCGCAGGTTGTGCAGAGTCTGCAGCTCTTTGGCCTTAAAGCATAAAGAAAACACAAAATTACTATTTTATCATGTTTATCAGGAAACATTTTCAACCTTCTTTAACAGCAAAAAAACTTTTAGTTGTCATTGATCTATTATGACATCACTATTCTCCAAATCTACAATATCAAGGAGTCATGCAAATAGCTTTCAAAAGATGTCCCAATTAAACAGTAGACTGAATTATTTCCTAGAGTCTGTGTTTGTTTGACAAGTAAGCAAAATATCTCACGAAACACAAAACAGATTTTAATCAAACTTATAGGAAGTAATCACTGGATGTATATCTACAACAACAATTAAAGGATGTTGTACCATTTATACAAAGCTGTTTTAGACCACGTAAAAAAGAAGGCAAACCTGATAAAAAAAAAAAGGCAAATAAAATCAGGCTTGTTTTTTATTTCTGCCTAGGTCAGCCTGATGCTGCCAGCTGTTCTGGAGACAGCTAAAATGGACAATAAGTTGGTGCTGTCAGTTACACAACCTCGATGAGAAATGCTGTGATCAGAACACATGATTTCATTCAGGGGCAAAAAAAAAGAGCTGTGACCAATCTTGCAGCCCCGGGTAAAGCACCACTATTTATAATTTAAATCTTGGTAGTTGCCTCAAATATCAACCAAAACCAGAAAACATTTACCCTGACATTTTAAAATAGGTTTTATATATAAATACTGTATGACCCATTAGTGCTCATGTTGGAGGTGACTCTCAGCTACACCAGATTATAGCTTCATAAGGGTCAAATCAACTGAGTTAAAGCCATTTTGCTGTCTGCTAAGGTAGATTGGCTATACCTGCCATCTTGAATTTTCTTATATTTTTTAGAGAAAGTGAATTAGTTGTAGATGTACATCATATCATTTACATGATTACCTCCTTTCATGGCAGCAGATGATAAAAATAGCATTTTCCCTCAAAAGACTAAAAAAGGATTCATGAATGCTTTAGAAACAGCTTATTCATGAGTATAAACACTTCATAAGGCAAACACAATCACGTTTTAAAAAACACACTGTTCATAAGAAGATGTGAGCTCAATGTTTGTTCTTTTGTTGATTCAGATTGTTTAAAGGCACAGTGTGTAGGATTTGTTGTTTTCAGCGACATCTAGTGGTTGAGTGGTTGAATCATCCTCCCTGGTCCTCCCCCCACCCCCACCCCCCGCTTCCAAACGCAAAGGAGTTGCTTCGGTGTCTCTCAGKTGTCAAAAACCTTTGATAATTCCAACCTCGATGTCTACCAGCAGCTTCAGGGCTAGTGATGTTTCAAGTGGTAAGATTATGAGCTTTAATAAGTAAAATTATCCCAGCTACAATGACAAACAACAAATATTACATTTATAGTATTACAACTAAAACCGTTTTTGATGCCGCCACCGCAGTTTGTCCTTCATGAGCCTTCGTAGACAAGATGACGGTGCAAGATGGCAGCTGCCTGTAGTGGCGACCCGCGACCATGGAGATATAAACAGCTTTTTATAAGGTAAAAATAATAAAACAAGGTCTTTGTCTGCAATGATTAGACATGTTTTTTTTTTTTGTCATTAGTGATTATCTCAATTTTGGCTAAAAGAATTGACAAAATCCTACACACTGTGCCTTTAATGCAAGCTGCTCAACTTACTTGAAATAACTTTATAATAAATAAACTTTCAAACACTCATACTGTTTTTATAGCAGTGACTTACTGACAGTTGTCTTTTAAAATCTACATTATGAACTAAAAATGTAAACCGGCTTTAAAACATGAACAGTGCTTTACAAATGATTGTTATGCTTTACGAACAGTTTATAAACTCAGTAACACTTATTTTATAAATGAGCCTTCATTATGAAATAGTCTCATTTTTATATTTACAAAAAAGGATATGGCTGTTTGAAAGGCTCATTATAAGACTTGATTATTTGTCTGTCTAAGAAAAAGTTGCAATTTTGTTCGTAAGACTGCATTTTTTTGAAGGATGGAGTAAAATATCATTTGTTTTAGCTTTTAAAAGCTTAGTAGGATACAACTTCCTCTTCAACACAAAATAATCCTCTTCAGCAGGAGATAGAATCAACCAGATGCTTCTAGAATGTCTGGATCATAACACTGTGTAACTACTACAGTGAAGAACCTTTAAGACCCACCACAGTCTCCTCCAGACCCTTCAGGTCCTCTCTGGCCTGGTCTCTTTGTTCATTCAGCAATCTGCAGACAGGAAAAAAAATTAAATAAAATGAATGATGTTCTTCAGCCTGTTTGGTTTCATACTAATCATGTCATCGCTCCTACATGAGCTTCTGAAGCTTTGCATCCTTCTGCTGCTCTTCATCCTTCAGTTTTTCATGGTCAGACATGAGTCTCTCCTGTTCCAGGATCAGGCCCTGGTTCAGACTGAGACAGAAAACAAAACATTGATTAACTTAAACAAACACACACTCACATTGTTAGATTAAACACATCTAGAAATCATCTTATTCTGTGTATTCAGGTTGTATTTAAGGTTTTACAGTATATAATGCTGTGTATAATGTGAGGGCATCACATAACTTCCTCTTTAAAGCAAAACAATCAGTTCCAGAAAATAAAATCTCACCTTATAACTGTCCGATCTGTCCACTCCTGAAGCAACTGAAACTATTTTTCATGAATGTTTTCACTGATATGCAATACTTTTTTAAGGTTTCACAGCTGATTAGTCTCAACACTGGAAAACATTTTCCCCTCACATAAACACCGTTGTGAGTTTTATTTTCATGTTTATCTTATTTAGTTTCACTACAAGTTTAGAAGATCTACAGTCACATTAGGAACAGTTCACTTCTGTTCCTCCATGTTTAAATGAAGCTTTGTGGAATTTTTGTCACAATTTTAGTTTGAAATAATCTTTGTTGTTTGGTTTGCTTGATGCAGAGCAAAAAACCAACATTCTTTCTGTGACCTCCCTTTACTTAAACAACTTCTCATTTGTTTAATGTGAAGTTACAGTTAAATTAAAGGCATTCATTAAAGGGAACCACGATTAGTTGTAACATTAGACTTTATTTAATAAACATATATTTTAACTGTAAAATAAAGACTGTAACAATGTTTGATAGTTTTGTTTGACAATACTTTAAATTAAATGAAACTAGCAACACATTATGTTCTGTTTTATTTACTTTAAAGAAGTGAGGAGTAGGGAGACGAACAATTATGTTTTTTGATACTGAGACTGGACGAGTAGATCTCGGCAAACTGCCGACTTCAAAAGCAGCTCTTGGTTCAAAAAAGGTTGGGCACCCCTGATTAAATAAACAGCTTAAATAAGTCATTAAAAATCTGAATTACCCTACATTCATGATGAGGAGATGTAAAGTTTTGAACCATAAGCTGTGTGCAGAATCTGAATATGCTCTCACTCTGTGAGCTCATCCAGCATCCTCTGCTTGTCTTCGATCTCGTCCCGCAGGCGTCCGAGCTGCTTCTGATGTGCCTCCCTGTGGCTCTCCAGCTGCTCCTCCAGCGTTTTCTGCAGTGCACACAAAAACGCACATCAGTGACACAAAAACACACATCAGAGACACAACAACACTTCGTTGTTTGAGCTCTACTGATAGTTTTACCTTCACGTCCCCATTTCCATTTGGACTGCTGACGCTCTCCTCCGCTGACATCTCATGCCTTTTTTCTGAGGAGGAATTAACTCTGTGGTTTAAAGGTTTGTCCACTTTATCACATGGAAACAAGACTCTAAATTTCATTATCATTTTAAATGTCACAAACAGAAAACTTTCATCTGCAGGGAAAATGACAGTCTTGTTGTGGACCGACCTTGAACCTGAAGCTTGGCGAGCTCTTCGTTCAGAGCATCCTGACTCTCCTCCAGCTGCCTCTTCTTCTGCTCCATGTTCTGCATGTAGTCGGTCAGAGACTTGATCTTAACCTGGTGCTGCCGACATGAGACATTAATGTCAAAAAAGAAGGGACATTGTGTAAGATGTCACCAAAAATAGATCGCAACAATTTTCAAATCTCATAAATTTATATTTCACTCACAATGGAACATATCTAACATTTAAAAAATTCTAATAATAATATCAATAATACATCAAATTTATATAGTCCAGCGAGTGAGTGGGTGCAGACAGAAGGGTGACACAGTTTCGGCACCCTTGCTACAATGTTTAACCTGTAGGGGGCACAGATCAGTGTCTACTGATCAATAACTTATTCACCATTCAAGGAAACAGACTCATTTACACCAAAATAAGAGTTGCAAGATACAGGGAACGCTTTTCATAAACAATGATCCTCAATAATGAAGAAACCAACTTTGTCTTTTGGAAATTCATTACAAAAATAGAACAATCAAACTTCATTGACTGAATGATAAAAATGAATAATGAATAAAAACAGTAAAAATTAATAAAAGAAAAAGGTAACAAAGGCTAAGTATGGGGTCCCGATTGTAAAGTTACACAGTCAAAAATTACCAGCAATATTTTTGCTTTATTTAGTCTTTCATAGGAAAGAAAGTAGGGGGTTATTTTTCAGTCAGATTTTCACCATGGTATTCATACATTTATAAATGTCATAGTTTACAAACTAAATAAT